AAAAACCTGAGAAAAAATCCACGGACCACGGGAAGAGAGATACCGCATACTCCAAACCACAGCAGGCGTCAGGGTCGGGATGGAACCCACGGCCTCCTGCATATCCGGCAGGGGAGATAACATCTCCTCGGCAGCGCGCGGTCGCTCGCGCGTTGGCAAGGCGAGGGAGGTGGGAGCAGGAGCGGTCGTCGCGCCGCGGCGTCGAAAAGTTGAGAGCAGACGGTGGTGCGGGGGTCAACAGCCATGGCTGGGAGCCCCGCCGCCCACACGCAGGCCCCACGCGACCGCCGAATTATCATCAAATTAGCGCCGTGACATTTGGAGCGAACCTCCCATCTGTCTGCTCCGAGCGCCGCTGCCACCGCGACATCGCAACCACCACGCGGCTCCCCGCGGGACCCGACAGCAACGTGCGTGGGCGACTGTCTGCCTCCCTCCCTCCCTCCTTCACTCCCTCCATTCCTCCCTCCACGCTGCCCTGCCTCCCTCCCCAGCCCCCCCTTCCCTAGCTCCCCCCCTCCCTAGCTCCCCCCCCCCTAGCTCCCCCCCTCCCTAACTCCCTCCCTAGCTCCCTCCCTCCCTCCCCAGCTCCCTAGCTCCCTCCCGCCTTCCCTAGCTCCTCCCTCCTTCCCTAGCTCCCCCCGTATCTCTCCTAAGTGTGCTAGGAGCGTGCGTGGGGGTGCATACAGTGAGTGTGGTAGGAAAGCGAGTGGGAGTGAGTAAAGTGAGACGTGGTGGTGAGTGTGGTAGGAGAGTGAGTGGAGGTGAGTAGAGCGAGTGGAGGTGAGTAGAGTGAGATGAGGTGGTGAGTGTGGTAGGAAAGTGAGTGGGAGTGAGTAGAGTGAGACGTGGTGGTGAGTGTGGTAGGAGAGTGAGTGGGAGTGAGTAGAGTGAGATGAGGTGGTGAGTGCGGTAGGAGAGTGAGAGGGAGTGAGTAAAGTGAGACGTGGTGGTGAGTGTGGTAGGAGAGTGAGTGGAGGTGAGTAGAGCGAGTGGAGGTGAGTAGAGTGAGATGAGGTGGTGAGTGTGGTAAGAGAGTGAGTGGGAGTGAGTAGAGTGAGACTGGTGGTGAGTGTGGTAGGAGAGTGAGTGGGAGTGAGTTGAGTGAGACGGGCGGTGAGTGTGGTAGGAGAGTGAGTGGGAGTGAGTAGAGTGAGATGCGGTGGTGAGTGTGGTAGGAGAGTGAGTGGGAGTGAGTTGAGTGAGACGTGGGGTGAGTGTGGTAGGAGAGTGGGAGAGAGTAGAGTGAGATGCGGTGGTGAGTGTGGTAGGAGAGTGAGTGGAGGTGAGTACAGCAACTCACATGTTCACCGGGCTCTCTGCTGCCACGGCCACGGCTGGATCCAGGTTCACCCTGTAGGACCGGCCATGCACCTGCAGGAACTGTGCCGGGTTTTTTCTGTGCCGTGAAGGAGCAGGGGGGGGGGGGGGATGGGGGGACAGTTCGGCAGAACAAAAATGCATAACGGTTGATTCACTATCATCAGCCATGATTATGGGTCGGCTACCAAAATAACAAGAGGAACCATTTTTTCAAATTTCAAGAGCCAAACTGCAGTCGTTAAAGAGCCACCGCATGCAGCTCCAGAGGCGCAGGTTGACGACCCCTGGCCATGATCGACCCACTGCTGGATGGAGGCACATCCGAGAGCCGCCGCCATCTATCGCCACCCCGTGATACTGTCGAGCGATCCGATAGCGATGATGCCAAGCTACACACAAGGCCCGTACCCAGCACTGTGCGCAACATGACTGTGAGCGGAGATGGTCGCTCACTCTCGTAGTCACGCGATGACTCAGGAGGCGCGAGGAGAAACCAAACAGCAGCAAAGTGATCATCTGGACCTAACAATTGCCCAAGCTCTGCGGTCCTCTATATATTAAGGTTCTGTCGGTCAACTCATGAGTGTTTACACGTTGGAGGAAACCGATTACCCAAAGAATACCCACGCATGCGAGGTGGAAACACTACCGCATAGACTATTATCACGGTTGGCTACGCACGGTGCGAAAGAAGTTCAACATACAAATACATACAGATGGGAGCCCACATTTTTGTAAAATGTCTTATGCCGGCAAGCCAGGGTATGGCTCTCCTCGCCGCCCACGGGAGGGGAGGGAGTTCCACAACATCATCGGTGTGTGAGCCACCGAGCCTCGCTGCTCCCTTCACAGCGTGAATTACAGGCAGCCACGTTCTGCACTGCGACCACTGCCTGGCGAATGGGCGCCGAGTGACGGCAGGCACACACAGGTTGTCACAGGAGGCTTACGGGCGACACAGTGGGCAGCTAAATCTGAATCTTTATTTGTCCTGGAGAAATCCGATGAGCTACGAAGCTTTTTTTCACAGATGTCCAGTCGCTTCACAAGTGCCCCCTCCCCCTCATTCCCCTCCTGGCTCCAGCCTCTCACCGACCCCCTTTGGCTTCCCAATGCAATGATGCCCGATTATCAGCCCCTCAGCTTTATGTATCCCCCCCCCCACCACAGCTACGACCAGGCCTATCCCAACCCCTCCTTATCAATCCCTCTTGTTTCAACGCATAAAAACTATACAGCCACTTACAATAACCCAATTCTTCATTTCAAATCATTATCATCCTATGTACAATTTTATTATTGCCATAAAGTGCTTGGAAAAAGCGCTATACGAATCTCAAAAGATCAAGGTGGTGCAGAACATTCACCGCTGTACATGTGCATCCGATGAGCTATGAAGCTATTTTCCACACCCGTCCAGTCGCGTCACAGCTTGACAAACACTGCGCAAGCGGCACTCAGCTCTGCCAGTCTGGACCAGTCCGCTCAGGAGCGTCACGATGGCGCCCTCTGGCTGAGAGCACTGTGCCGCTACTGCCCTACACGTGAACGCGTCTCCCACCAAGAGGTGAGGTGCACTGTGAGAGATGGCACGACAGGTACATCACAGAGTGTGATGCATTGCGGGAACCGGCACTACAGGTACATCACAGAGTGTGATGCATTATGGGAACCCGCACTACAGCTCTGTCACCGTGTGTGATGCATCGTGGGAGCCGCGACAGATTCAGCGATGAAACGCACCACGTTCGCCACGAGTCCGCCCGTGAGAATGCCCTCTGGGACGCTGCAGAAATTCCACTGCGCGTCCCCGTACATAGAGCCAAGTGGGATCGGGACCTGGACCGTGCTCTTCCCAGTGCAAGCGACTGCTTACGCTCGGTGCGGTTTCCCGTCGTTTAAAAAACTAAACTGTTTTATGTTACCAGGTAAGGCCCACTGAGCAATGTAGCTCTTTTTCAGAAGCGGCCTGGCCACAAATGACAGCACAACAAATTGGCTTATCATGCGGAAATTTATAGCAGCCAAATACCCTAAACGCATGTTGATTAAAAATGTGGAGAGAAAAACCAGAGGACTCGGAGAAAAATTCACACGACCACTGGAAGAACACGCAAACTCCGTAGATACAGGCATCGTCAGAGTTGGGATCGAACCCACGAACTCGTGTACACTAGGCGAGGTGGTTAACATCTCGCCACCGGTGCGTCCCACTTTCTCGTTCACTCCTCCCTCGTGCCCATTTCGCTCATTCATTCCTGTCCAAACCCCGCCGGCTTTTTAACCTCGCGACGCGCCCCGCTCAGACCCGGTCGCCGTAGCTGAACGGGGAAACCTCACAGCGACGAAGTGAACCCCCCCCCCGCCCCCACACCGGGGCGCGCTCACGACCGCGCCGCCACTCACGATCTTCTCGTAGTACTCGCGCCGGCGCTCGACGCGCTTCTTGTAGTCCACCATCATGCCCCGCAGCTTGCGCTCCTGCTTGCGCGCCTCGTGCCACATGGTCGCAGCCGTGGAGGAGGCGGCACAGAGGAAAGGGGGAGCTGCCCCGCCGGAGATGGACCGCCGTGGCTCTGCTCCGCGCGAGACCTACGGGTTATTGTGAGACCTGTAGACAATCACAGAGACCCATAGACTTACACAGAGACCCATAGACTAACACAGAGACCCATAGACTAACACAGAGACCCATAGACTAACCCCCAGACCCATAGACTAACACCCAGACCCATAGACTAAACAGAGACACGTAGACTCACACAGAGACACGTAGACTCACACAGAGACCCACAGACTAACACCCAGACCCATAGACTAACACCCAGACTCATAGACTAACACCGAGACCCATAGACTAACACCGAGACCCATATACTAACACAGACACCAATAGACTAAAATAGAGACCCATAGACTAAAATAGAGACCCATAGACTAACACACAAAGATTACCCGTATAACCGTAAGACGATTGTTAGGGAAAGTGCTGTTAGCGAGCACCTATGAAGGCCGGCACTGTGACACACGAGGGGGTGCCCAGCACCTCGCCCGGCCGCCTTTGTCTCCCTCGTGACAATGTTTACACACCGCACCAGTTACTCTTTTGAAGCCCGGTCGACCTAGGGGAGGCCCAGATACTCGTCAGTGGTTGCTGGTGGCCGCGAGAGTGAATAGAACTCGGGCCGTTGGGTTCGTAGTGCAGCGTGCTAGTCACGGCACTATTCAGGGCCAACGTGAGACGCACAGATATATAGATCTATGTTTAAACTGGGACCCGATCCCCCATTCATACGCGTGGATTGCGTTCCGCTTTCCAAAGCGCAGTGCGTTAACCACTGCGCCACCGCTCCCCCCCTTCTCTGCACCAACAACCCTCATCAGTCCACACCTCAGAGTCGACACAGTCTCAACAACAGCCAAAGGTCCCCCGCATAGTCTTTAACAGACTGTTGGGGCAAGTGCTGTTGGCGAGCACCTCTACGGCACACGAGGGGGTGGTGTGGGTAGCCTTCCCCAGCGCAGGCGCTTACACGACGCGCCAGAAAAACATCGCCGGTGTCGGCTGAGTGGAACTCCGGCCTCACCGGGTTAGGAGCCAGTGCGCTAACCACTACGCCACCGCTCCCCGCCAACGACAGCCATCGCCGCTGTAAACATCACCTTTCATTATCCAACTACTAAATAATGTCGTCAGCCGCGGTCAATCTACTGCTGGATGAAAGTCTGCCCGCCTATCGCGACCCTGCGATGTCAACAATTCATCCAGACCCGGCAAACTAAACTAATTTTACAATATTTCCCCGATACGACAAATCGACAATATTCCCCAGTGCATACACAGCATTAATCACTCAAGAGCAGCTGCGGCGGTGGTACACGCGGAGCGCACTGTGCGACTTGCAATCCCCACGGGGTCGAGTTCCCATCTCCCGGCGCGGCAGTGGCGCCAGGAACCGTTCTAGAATCCACGACTCGGTCTCTGTCCAGCAGCAGAACTGTGACGATCTACGATGGGTAGCTAAGCGTGTCGTGAGGTAAGTCGCGGGTACTCTCATCTCTTCCAACGCAGTCTGGCGAGCGTGGAATAGGAGGCCAAATATCCTCTAGAGTCGAGAGCTGCTGCGAAGCGGAGGCATTTCGACAGCAATTGCAGGGGGCGCCGCATGAAAATCCACTACAGGGCCTAGGCCGCAGGCTTGAAGCCTGAGGCCTAGCGACGCTCACCTGCGCTTGGCCCGGGGAAGCGAGAGACGCGGGGGCCGCTATCCCCTCCCGGTGGCTTCTGCAGCCGCGAGGCCGCGAACTCTGTGGGGGTCGCCCCCCCTCCTCCTCTTCTTGAGTCCCGAGCCTTGGGGCTCGACTCGCGCTCCCCCCGCACTCTCCTGGCGCTCTCTCCCCACGCTCTCTCACGGAGCCTCGCGCTGTTATCCACCAATCACGAGAGAGAACCGACGACACCCCTCCGTGTTGCGAGGACCAATCACGAGCCAGCACCGATCACCGCCACTCACCACCGCTCCGGACATGGCACTTTGCCGAAGGTCTCTTCCCTCCCGGTTCATAAAACAAAACCAGCCAACACCGAACACCTATCTTCTTGGTTCTTTCGGTAAAGTCACGTAGAAGGGAAGTAATAAAATAATAACATAAAACATAATAAAATTATTCTCACGACGTTTCGGCCACAACGCAAGCCGAAACGTCGTGAGAATAATTTTATTTTGTTTTATTTTTATTATTTCCCTTCTACGTGACTTTACCGAAAGAACCAAGAAGATGAATGAATCCCTGCAGTCACGAAAGCTTTAAATCAAAATTTAACCGAACACCTACACCATTGGAACCTCACCGAACACCTATATTACTATTAAAGTTGGTGACGATTCTGGCAATGACCCTTCTCCATAGCACACATTCACAAATGGACAATTAAAGATAACCAGAGAACATGGAGAAACCCATGCTGAACAGGGGGAGAGAACATGCAAACTCCACTCGCACTGACGCCCGAGTCGGGAATGAAATCACGGTGATCTCTCAACATTGGGATCAAGTAATTAAATCGACTCCAAGGTGACATCAATATCACTGCCAAAAGCAATAATTTGATTCCGGAAGAGAAACAAAACAAGAAGCAAAGCACGCAATTATTTGTTAATAGCTCTTTATTTAGAACTTTAGTTGTTTTGTATATGTTACTTAATAAATATTTAGTCAGGCTACGAAGCGTTAAAAATAATAAATGAGCCACTTCATAACCCAGAAATCGGGCATAACACAGGAAATACTTCAGAGTAGTCCGAGCCAGCTGTGCCTTATGTTGCAAACAACACACAAGAGACGCATGTAAAAATCACTCGGCCTTTGTGCGTTTTGCAAAAAAACTCCCCAACGGTTCCTCTTCGTCTTAGTTCACCATCAAAATAAATTTGAGCAAACGTGTAACGACTGACGGACATAGACAATTGTAGATCGGTGTTGTGTTTATTAGAACTCTATCAGTCGCTACCTTGGCGCACAATCAGCGCGTGAACCCACGCGCCAGTCCACGATGCACACCGAAGCGAACCCAGACGACGGCATCGCCAGCTGCTGTCTCTCCGCACCCAGTCAGTCACTCCCTCCAAACACGGACCCGCAGCCTGCAGTGGAGAATAGCCTGGATACCGGCATTCTTAAAATGAACAATTTTTTTTATTATTTTACCAGGTATGACCCCCACGGAGCTACGGAGCTATTTTTCAGAAGCGACCTGGCTACCACAAATGATCGCTCAACTAAGTCGCTTAGCACGAGAAAATGTACAACAGCCAAATATTCTAAACGCATGTTTATAAATGTGGAGAGAAAAGGAACCGGCGAAAAATCCACACAACCACGAGGCGAGAAAACGCAATCTCCAAATATACAGCAGGCGTCAGGATTGGGCAATCGAACTCAGGATCTCCTGTATACCAGGCGAAGTAGTTAACATCTCGCCATCGTGGCGCCACCGTTTTCTTAGTCACAGCCCGGCTCAGGCTTGGCTTCGGCTAAAGAGCCGCTTCCCCAAGCCCCTGTGCTTAACGTAATTCCGGCTCCAAGCATGGTCCCAGCCAGGCTCGGGACTTTACAGGAACCAGAGCCGTGCCACAGCGAAGTCGCTCACTCGCGTCACGCAAACTCCGTCCAGTCATTCTCGCAGCAGCAGTAGCGGCTTTTGAACAAAGACTGTCACCGCATCGCGTGATTTCAGATGCGCTTCTGCGGCCGTCTGGAACGCTCCTTCCGAGATTAGGAAGCCACTATGCACTTTTAAATCTAAATTGAAAAACTGCTTTTTGCGTTTAATTAATCGTCCTTATCCCGCAGCTCCCATTAGCGTATGGTGCCAAAGATGTTCAACTTACGTACATCCGTGCCTCTTTGGAAGCAACTGAGCAAGCTCGGCCTGAGCTGGAGTGTAAACGATGCCGAGACAGAGCCGAGCCGCGAATGCGGCCACGAGCAGCAGCAGCCGCCACTGCCAATGAGCCACTGAATGTCTAAACCGGTCCAGGGTGAATGAAAAGCAACCCTGCGAAAGAAGTCACTCCGAGTAGGTCGTGTGGCTGAAGGGGTTTGTGCAAAATACATATTTTAGTGTTCTTACGTGGAGACAGATCGATAGCGGGGTATGGTCTGCTTATGTTGTAGTTTTTTTAGACGTGTTCACGACTGCATTGCACGTAAAGAATCAAGTGTTGTTTTAATATAATTTAATTCGATAGTAAAATACGTTGTCTGTTGACATCCCGGGGAGCGAGGTTGGCCGATAAAGAATTGGCTGCGGCGTTATGGACATCTCTTACTCCGAATCGGTTGGCACTAAACTCTGACCTCACTCTTGCTTAACATCAATGGTTTCCACGCCTGGTAAAATAAATAAATGCAATGTTTTCATTGGCGGCTCGGGGTTTGCACGGACAATCCGTGCGTGGAACATATAGCAAGGGTGATCCATTTCTAGATACCCCTACTAAATATAATAGGGAGATAGTCGAGAGAAAACTGAATTCATAATCAACGTTTTTGGGTTTAGATCGCGTTATTTATAAATGTGTCGTAACCCTCCACCACCCGACACGGCCAATCAGTAAAAATGTGTCACGTTGACAAAGACAAATAGTTCACTGCTTTAGCCCACCGGTGTGTTGAAGCCACAACATTTACAATTTGAGTACGACGTTTCGCTGGTAATTGCATCCAGCATCATCGGGCAATTCGCCAGAATTGGAGGGTTACGACACATTTATAAATAACGCGATCTAAACCCAAAAACGTTGATTATGAATAATATTGGTCGCGAAAGCCTACGTGTTAGAAAACTGAATGTTATTTTCAAACGCTCAACGTGCACCATCTCCCCCCACCCAATAGCAATACACTTATTGAAAACGTTGTCACGCTATCACAATATCCAATCAGCCGTTGAGAACCGAGGACCATTATCAATCAGTGGGGTATCTATTAATGGATCCTCCTGTACAGTTTACTGCATTAAAAAAAACTCAATGCGTTCGTAAACGACACTGTGGCTTTGTGTAATAGGCGACGTTTCGGGAAATGCTCCCCCCCCACAATTGCACATGGCCTGAAACGCCATGGATATTGTCCTTTAATGGAGCTACAGCAAATTCCGAACGTGGTTTCGTCGTCGTCGTCGTTGTTTGTGCCCCGATGCGTAGGCACACCAGCAGCAGCAGCGAGTAACGCGTTCATGCCCTTGGTACAAAGCACCCCGGGGTTCACCGCGCTGCTGACGTCTTGTTCGAGACTCTCCACGGGAAGCTTGGGTGGCTTCAGGTGACCCAATACCGCGTCCAAGACATCACCGCCAACACCGCTGACAGCCTGGGTTCCAATCCAGGTTTCAGCCGCGCCCGAAATGAATGGAGCGTCCTCAAGAAGACAGCGGCACCAACGGTTCCGGGCGCCGTCACCGATGATCACGCGCAAGAAAAAACACGCAAAATCGAATTTTTCACTCCGAATCGGTCGATTCTCATGCTCCAAGACAGTGGTTCACAACCTATGGTGCACCCGCAAAGCCATAGAGAAGTGGTCCGCGGAAATGTTGCAGAAAGGAAACACGAGATTTCGTACCGCCCGTCGCGGTATAGTCAATCAAAACAATGCAAGTTCATGGTGTCCATGGCTTTCCTATGTAACATTGAACCACACCTTGAATAAGAGTAATTTTAATTTTGAAAAGAATCGTTGTCTGTCCAAGGTGGCCTGCGACGATGTTGCGTGGGTACATTTGTACGTATGTTGAACTTCTTTCGCACCGTACGAAGCCAACCGTACTAATCGTAGGTAGGGGTTGACAGTGGTTGGGAACCACCGTTACAAAAATAAAATTAGGTGTGACTGCAGCGGAGACGAACCCTGACATGGCAGCGCATCTGAGAGCATGGGAGCCACCCTCGTGTGAATAAGAACCAACTGGAAGGACCTCGGAAGTAGTTCTGTGTCGTCATTTTCTAGATAACCTCCTTTAACACGTTCCGCTGCTTGCGGCAAGCACCAAAGTTGTCTTTTCTTCTGTAATGACGAGACAAATAGTACAAGTGAAATATAAAGATAAACGGCAGTTACCATAAAACTATAAAGCACACCCATGTTACCAAAGGCAACATTCTACACACTTCATTGAACGTCATTTGTTGCTATTAAAGTTACTTAGACGTGCCTAGAGATGTATTAGTCTGGTCACGAAGAGAGTGAGATATGACTTGTCCTAAAAATGCATTTCTTTTGGTAGCTTGGCCCCAAACTCACAAAGCACTCACTCGACCGATAAAACCTCTCTTCTACTGCACAACCCGATCCGCGCCGGGGCCGTGCCGAGCCAGACCCACGCTGTTCATTTTGCACCGCGCCGTTCGTCTTCCCATTGCAGAAGCCGAGCCGCTGGCCTCGCGCGCAACGAACGAACCGGGACGCGCACAGACGATACGGTGACGCCGTGTCCCCCCAGGGGGTACCGACATCACACGCACGACGCTGCGAACGAACCAAGACGCACGCAGACGGTGTGGTGACGCCGTGTCCCCAAGGGGGTCCCCCCCCACCCCAACGTGTCCGTCCACGGCGTACCGACGTTACACGCAGTGAACGCGTTGTGTGCGCCGCCGCTTGGCCCTGCTTGAGCAAAATTCAGAAGTTGCGCGAGGGAAGCGTAGCACGGTTTGGTTTTGGCTCTCATCGGCAAATAGCCGGTGGGAAAAAAACCACCCATGCCGTGATGGGCCCCACGCTGGCTCAGCGTGGATGTGCCAGTTGACAAGGCGTCTAAGTCCAAAACCACGGCAGTTTAAAATAAACAATAACGACGACTCGCGTTACACTGCACAAAGCCGAACTAATCACAAATCGGTTTGAACTTTTATTGTATGAAAAAA